TCAGAGGGTCATTTTTAGGGATAAACCCTTGGATTTCAATATTGGGACCCTCCTGGGATGCTCAGAGGGGCATTTTTAGGGATAAACCCTTGGATTTTTTAGGATAAAACTCCCAATCCTGAACCCGTGCATCTCAGGCTCTAAATCTGCTGCGTTTTGACTCCCAAAATCACAACTTTGACCTAGAAAARTCCTTCCCACGGGAATATTCCCACCGCAAGAAAACTAATTTCCCCCCCAAACCCCCAAAATCCCAAAATTTTTTGAAATCCCTCAAATCCCGAAACCACGGTTGTTTTTTTTTGGGATCTCAGTGGATCCTGCCCTTCGCTCCGGGTGGGTTAAACCCAATTACTGATTAATTCCAGGCATTTCTGAGCTCAGGAATTTCAGGGCCTGGAAGTCCAAGGGGTGTGAGGAGGCCGGCGAATCCCRCAGAATTCCCGGTTGGGATTTGGCTCTGTCCCAGCTGACCCAAATTCCCGATTCTTTGATTTTTTTTTTGCCTGGGAGCAGAGGGAATTGTGCACCTGGATGAGCCAATTGAAAGGGGAGGGGTTTGGARGGTTTTGGGATGGAATTTTCCCTCGTTTTGGAGCGTTTTTGGGAATATTGAAAACTTCGGGTTTGGGGTCGGAGCGGTGCTGGAATTTCGGGGTTCAGGGGCCRGTGCCTGGTGAGGACCAGGGGATGGGAATTAATTAATTAATGGGATTAATTATGGTTAATATGGGGGGTTTGCTCATGGTCATCAATTCCTATAGGAGCTGGAAAAATTGGGAATTTCCTCTTGGTTGATCCAGTTATTTCCTGGGAAAAGTGGCTTTAATTTGTCCCTGTGTCCTGTAGGGCTGCCAGCTTGGCTCTTGCTGTATTCCAATATTCCAAAATTCCCATATTTCCGTATTCCAGTTGCCTTGTATTCCCATATTTCAATATTCCCGTATTTCAGTATTCCAGCATTTCAGTATTTCAATATTCCTGTATTCCAAGAATTGCACAGCCCTGTATTCCTATATTTATTTATTATTCCAATGTTCCATTATTCCAATATTCCAATATTCAAATATTTCAATATTCTAATATTCCAATATTTTAATATTCCAATAGTCCAATATTTCAATATTCCAATATTCCCGTGCTCCTGTATTTCAATATTCCATTATCCTTGTATTTCAAGACCTCTAGATCCCTATTTTCCTATATTCCAATATTTCTATATTCCAGTATTCCAATATTTCAATAACCTTGTATCCCAATATTTCAGTATTCCAACATTCCATTATTTCAGTATTCCAAAATTTCAATATTCCAATATTTTAATCTCTCTACTTTCCGATATCTCTGTATTCCAACATTCCAATATTCCCATAGTTCAGCATTCCTATGTTCCCATATTCCAGCATTCCAATTCCCCGATTTTCCCCCATTCCCATATTCCCACATCCCAAAATTCCCACCTTTCTCTGCCCGAACCAATCCCAAAAATCCCACACTTGTTCTCCTCAGATCCCTTAAAAACCCAACTCCCGGAATTCCAACCCCGGAACAGAAAACAATAACCCGGCGTTCCCAAAATAGCTCCGATTTCCCTTCCTTTCCCCGGGAACRGGGGGGGCCCATCCGGTGAGCAGGAAATTCCCAAAAATCCCAATCCAGGCTGGATTTGGGGTGTCCGAGCTGTCTCAGGGTGTGAATTCCATGTGGGATTCTGTTCCCAAATCCTGGAATTCCCAGCGRGAACCCGGCCCGAGGACGGGAATTWYTGGGGAGGAAGAGGCTGAGTGAGGGGGTTGTCCCACTGGTTGTGCTGGGAATTTTTGGGAATATTTGGGATGTGGTCGCTCACCGGTGGCTCAGGCACTCCCCAGCTCATCCCTATTCTGGAAAACCTCCATTTCCCCCTGTTTTCCCCCAATTTCCCTCCCGTTTTCTCCCATTTTCCCCCATTTCCCCCCCCATTTTATTCCTGTTTTCCCCCTTTATCCCCTTTTTTCCCTTTTCTCCCCCTTTTTCCCCCTTATCCCCTTTGCCCCTTTATCCCCTTTTTTCCCTTTATCCCCTTTTTTCCCTTTATCCCCTTTTTCCCTTTATCCCCTTTTCTCCCCTTTTCCCCCTTTTTCCCCCTTTCCCCCTTTTTCCCCTTTCCCCCTTTCCCCCTTTTCCCTNCTTTTTTCCCTTTTCCCCTTTCCCCCTTTTCCCTTCCCTCTGGAATTTCTCGGATACTCCATCCACCCCCTCCAAGCCCAGGAATCTCCTTCCCCAGTTCCCTGGCAGACCCCAAATCAGGGAATTTCTGAATCCTGGTGGAAAATGCCTCATTCCGTGTCGGAACGGGAGCCCTGGAATGTTTTCCGTGTCACGGGGCCCTTCCTCATCCGTGTTGGTGTCTTTGGAATTTTCCTTCAGCCCTTCTTCCCCTTTAGGAACGGGGTGAACGTGATTTCGGGTTCACTCCCGTATCCCATTTCCCTTTAGGAATGGTGTGAACATGGAGGGCTCTCCTCCTAATTTCAGGATCCCATTTCTTTTTAGGAACAGTGTGAATGTAGAGGGCTGTCCCCCTAATTCTGGCCTCTCCCCAGTCCCCTTTCCCTTTTAGGAATGGGGCGAACATTGAGCTCTCCCCCTAATTTCAGGATCCCTTTTTCACTTTAGGAACAGGGTGAACTTGGAGGGCTCTCCCCCTTATTTCGGGATCCCCTTTTCTAGGAACAGGGTGAGCTTTGAGGGCTCTCCCCCTAATTTCAGGATCCCCTTTCCCTTTTAGGAATGGGGTGAACGTGGAGGTCTTCCCCCTCTAATTTCAGGATCCCATTTAGCTTTTAGGAATGGAGTGAACTTTGAGTGGTCTCCCCCTAATATCAGGATCCCATTTTCCTTTAGGAATGGGATGAACGTGGAGGGCTTTCCCCCTAATTTGAGGATCCCATTCCCCTTTAGGAATAGGGTGAACTTTGTGGGCTCTGCCCCTAATTTCGGGATCCCTTTTTCCCCTTTTCTCTTTACAAAGAGGGTGAATGTAGAGCTCTCTCCACCTAATTTCAGGATCCCATTTCCTTTTAGGAATGGGGTGAACGTGGAGGGTTCTCCCCCTAATTTTGGGATCCCTTTTTCCCATTTCCCCTTTAGGAACAGGGTGAACGTGGAGCGCTCTCCTCCTATTTTCAGGATCCCATTTCCCATTTCCCCTTTAGGAACGGGGTGAACATTGAGGGTTCTCTTGCTAATTTTGGTATCCCTTTTTCCCATTTCCTTTTAGGAACGGGGTGAATTTTGAGGGCTCCCCCTAATTTCAGCATCCCTTTCTTTTAGGAACAGGGTGAACGTGGAGGTCTCTCCCCCTAATTTCGGGATCCCTTTTTCCCATTTCCCTTTAGGAACGGGGTGAACTTTGAAGGTTTTCCCCCTAATTTCGGGATCCCTTTTTCCCATTTCCCTTTAGGAACGGGGTGAACTTTGAAGGTTTTCCCCCTAATTTCGGGATCCCTTTCAGGAACGGGGTGAATTTCGAGGGTTCTCCCCTAATTTTGGGACCCTTTTTCCCATTTTCTTTTGGGAACAGGGTGAACTTTGAAGGTTCTCCCCCTAATTTTGGGATCCCTTTTTCCCATTTCCTTTTAGGAACGGAGTGAATTTTGAGGGTTCTCCCCCTAATTTCGGGATCCCTTTCAGGAACGGGGTGAACTTTGAAGGTTCTCCCCCTAATTTCGGGATCCCATTTCCCATTTCCCTTTAGGAACGGGGTGAACGTTGAGCACTCTCCCCCTAATTTCAGGATCCCATTTCCCCTTTAGGAACAGGGTGAATTTTGAGCATTCTCCCCTAATTTCAGGATCCCATTTCCCCTTTAGGAACAGGGTGAATTTTGAGGGTTCTCCCCTAATTTCGGGATCCCTTTTTCTCATTTCCCCTTTAGGAACGGGGTGAACTTTGAGCACTCTCCCCTAATTTTGGGATCGCTTTTTCCCATTTCCCTTTTAGGAACAGGGTGAACGTGGAGGGCTCTCCCCCTAATTTCAGGATCCCTTTTTCCCATTTCCCCTTTAGGAATGGGGTGAACATTGAGGGTTCTTCCCCTAATTTAGGGATCCCTTTTTCCCATTTCCCTTTTAGGAACGGGGTGAACGTGGAGCGCTCTCCTCCTATTTTCAGGATCCCATTTCCCATTTCCCCTTTAGGAACAGGGTGAACATTGAGGGTTCTCTCGCTAATTTTGGGACCCCTTTCCCCCATTTCCCTTTAGGAACGGGGTGAACATGGATGGCTCTCCCCCTAATTTCAGGATCCCTTTTTTCCCATTTCCCTTTAGGAACGGGGTGAATTTTGAGCACTCTCCCCCTAATTTCAGGATCCCTTTTTCCCATTTCCCTTTAGGAACGGGGTGAACGTTGAGGGTGCCACGCACAAGCAGGTGGTGGATCTGATCCGCGCGGGCGAGAAGGAGCTGATCCTGACGGTGCTGTCGGTGCCGCCGCACGAGGCCGAGAGCCTGGACCCCGCCGACGACTCGCTGGGCCAGGCCTTCTACGACTACAGCGAGAAACAGGCGGTGCCCATCTCCATCCCCACCTACAAACACGTGGAGCAGAACGGAGAGAAGTTCGTGGTGAGGGGTTATTCACACCCGGAATCGTGGGAAAAGTCTGGAAAATTCTGCAGTCCT